CTGGCTGCCTTCAACTGCAACTTTTGTTGCATAAAACTTTGATAAAATCATGTTGAATGGATTGCAAAAAGCGATGCGAATCGGCAGGTAACCCATCACACGAAGAATGAAAACATGCACAACGATCAAAGCACGTAGGGGAGTTTACCGTGTGTCTAACAATTTTCGACCAGGAACCACAAGATGACTTCCTCCACATTTTGGAAAAATGGAGTATGAGTGGCGTAAAATAGTCACTCAGCATTTGCGAGACGAAATTACGGAATCAGCAAAGAAGCTGAATGAACCCGAAATTGCCACAAATGTGCCGATAAATCCACCGAAAGACTATCCTGACAACGCAGCGACAGGATAGGCAACCATTACGCGAGCAACTACTTTAAAGAGATGCGCAACTGATCTCAGTGACGTCAAATAGAACCCTGCTCCTAGCACCTTGACGAGCGGTTCCGCTAGCGTTATCTGTCAGAATTGTTAGCTTGGTGGTCTGAATCCGTCTGGAGCATTTAACAAGTCCCAACAGGCACTACTTGCCCGAGTACTAGAGACTCTGTCGATCGGTATCTGCAGTTTATCGGCAACCTGCCTGCAGGATTCGAGCTCTTTGCATACCTCGCGATCCCCCATATGCAACATGGGTAGCATCTCACTTCGTTTGTTCGAAGATGACCCAGCTTCAATTACCGGTGTGGACATTGTTTTAATCCCAGGGCTGAAACTGATCCGAAAGATTGGATTCCAGTCAACAGATGGATCTGCGCTGTCAGATTCACCGGCTCTAAAGCCTGGAAGTCGCGCTGAAACAGTATTTGTTTAACATTACTGCATATGCACCCACAAACTAGCGCTGATTCGGTGAAAAACGGCTTCTGTCACCAATTGAACCCGTTACTTCGTTACAGGAAAGTACTACTTCTAAACTACGGATACTGTAGTGCTTGCTGGTGATCTGAACGCCCAAGTTGAAATACTGTCCATTTATGAGCTTTATCTGGAAGGTCATCATGGTGTAAGCTCCTTTGATGATAACGGCGAGCGGGTGCTACACCTGTGTGAAGACACTGGTCTATGTCTCGCGAGCACTAACTTCCAGTACAGTACCTGTCGGAAGGTGACATGGCGCCCATCAGCCATGGACGCAAATGGACCATATCGCTAAAGAGAGGATGCGTGCAAAACTGTCTCCGATTTGGATTACGAGCGTGGATTCGGACCACGCAACTGTTTGCGCTGACCTGCTGGTGCGTTTCGGTGGTCGTCCGTGAGCGCATAGATATTTGCCAACTGGCGAAACAAGGTTTTCTGAGTGCGTATCAATGTATATCGGCTTCCGGGCCAAGTAATCGCTCGTTGAACCTAGTGGAGGACCACTAGTCGCACCTTCGCCAGAATTTATTATCAACAGGCATGCCGTTATGTGGAAAATTAAATTCCCAACCGGAACATTGAGTCTCTACGCAGTCTCCAGAACCTTTAAACTCTTGCCGACAAACTATAGCACACACTACGAGGCTCGCAGAAAGCTCAGGAGGAATTGTGTGCTAGCCTGAGGCTAGACCGCGAAGCCTGGTGATCTCATCGTGCATTGTACACAGCCGTTGCGGTTGGTAACCGTCGGAAGTTATCCCGTATGATACGCGAAACGGACAGCAGGAGATCAGGTGCTAGGTACCATATGCGACGAGAGTAGATAGTCAGTCCACAACTTATCAAAGCGCTTGGAGCATTGGGCCGAACACTTTGAGAAGCAATTTAATCAGCTTCTCCGTCGGCCAATGATCACCCTACTCCCTGGGCTGTTGCCCTGAATCCGCCCTCACGCGCAGAAGTCGAACGTCTCCTCAAAGATTGTCAGGGCCTCACTCGTGCGCAGTCTTTTGGTAGGGATCAGCTGGAAATCGTCCAGAGAGGTAAGTATCTTGGCAACTATATTAGATAATTCGTGCTATATCCCAGTTAGCTTGTAAATTATGCAGCCCAGCTGCCGTCCCCCATTAGTCAGTGGCTTAAGCTGCTGGCTAGATGGCATCAGCCTCTAGCGGTTATGAGTTCAATCACCAGTAGGTGATCTAGGGAATACGCATCACTGACGAGCTCCAATAGGGCGAAACGCGTCTGGTGCTTTTGCGGATTGTGATTTAGCTATATAGCTTGTGAGGTACTAAGACGGATACATTAAAAATTTCAACTAAAATCCTCCTACTCATAAGTAACTATATTAACCTCGGTGGAATAGGTGAGAGCATGCTGGATAACAATAGCCCAAGGTGTTTTTACCGATCTACGCCGCCTTTGGCGACGATACGACACCAAGTATGTGTTCAACTCTCCTGTACGGTTACAAACCTTGGCCCACTAGGTCGCCAGACGTAAAGAGGCTTGTTGCCTTCGATCATCGAAATCACTGCAGCTTAGCTCATGTCAAGTGGGAAGACTCCGTGAGCGTTGAGCATGTTCGGCCTCGCGTATTTTATTTAGGAAGTGCGAGTAATCTACCCAGCATGCTTATGTATCGCAACAAGCTGCGATGGCTGGGCCATGTGTTGAGCATGCTAGCACACCGACTCCCGCGACTTGCGTAGTTTACGCTCCTGGAGTGTTGATGGAACGTTGTGGGGAGGCCAAGCAATGACCTGATCCAAAGGAATGAAGCCCCTCCCTTCGAAGTTGGCGCCGGTTGGTGTCTGTGGATTGTGGGGCTGCTGTCCCAGGACCAATGAACACGTTTGGTTGGATACACTAGTTGACTTGGCTAAGAGCCGACCTCAATCGCGTTTGTGTTTTGGGTGTTTTTTCCCTCCGCGCATATCTTCCCCTCTCCAACAATGATCTCACAGGGCTTAGATATTATGACACTTGGCATTATTAATGAGTAGTGGGGGTTCTGGAATAATTTCAGAGGTAATTCGTCTCGGTCCCCCCTCAGTCAACAGGCTTTGACGCAGCATTATATTACTTGCTTTTTTGTATCCTGTAACGTTTGGTATCTTGCTCTTCATATATCTTTTATATTACGGTACATTAGCTGCATTCTGTTCATTACCTACAGCTAACGTATAGTAATAATACTACTAATAGTAATTATACTAATAATAATAATGCTGTTGGTGATGACGGAATCCGAAGTGAGCTTCTACTGCTGCAACGGAGTAAGGCATCTGACCCAAACGGCCTTCTGCCGTTCGTTGATGGAGACGGTGGCGCCTTATTTTTGACTTCTTTAGTCGTTCCATTCGACACTATGTGATGCAGATGGGAAACACCATATAATCTGCGGTTGTCAACCATCATTCTCATCTTCAAAAGAAGCCAAGAGTCTTCCTGTGAAAATCGTTTTGATGTCAATCTTATTTCGTTACTTCCAAACCGCTGAGGTGCATCATGCTGCGACGATTCATTGCTTTTATTGAGAGACTGACCAGCAAGAGTTAGACTGGCTTCAACCTTGGCAGAGAATGCGTTATTATTTATACTCTGCTACGTGCTCAAACTACGCCTAATCTCTCTCTCTATTCCAAAATCTTTAAACAACCACTCCCGTGGCCGTGTGATGGTCTAAAGGAAATTCTCCATGAATCGACCACTACAGGTGAATTACTTTCGGACTGCTCTAACTCAATGTTCATCTTCAAGTCATCGGACTGATCATGAATGCTTCCTTTATACCTTATTCTGTCTCCTGGATTGAGGTTTTGTTAGATGATCGACTGTCAAACTTAGAGTACGCTGTGGGCCTAGCTCACTTTGGATCGGGCCTGACTGCCATGTAGGTGCTGTTTGGTAGGCTGCCACATGGTGATGCACGCTTCGGCATGTACTTTTCTACTTCACACCGTAACATACTGTTGCGACACTGTGCCGACATGCCACCAATTGTCACAAGTATAGGAGTACTGCTCGAAATAGCCGATTGATTTACTTCTTTATATGACATCACCTCTGTTAGTTGCATCACTGAAGAGTTTGCCACCCTCATTACCAAGGCTCGTATGTTTTTTCATGATAGTCACCTAGGGAGAAATATGAGGAAGGCATCTGCAGTACGCCAACGCACAGTACTTACCCTCCCATCCACGGTCGCGTATTCCGTGAGACTACCTGCTACCATGCGGACTAGAACCGGTGGCCTCCGGATTGCAAGGCAAGCATATAATCCTTTTAGCCGACGGTGGAATATATCCTTAACGGTAAAGCGAAGGGTTTACTACGCTTTGACATGACCACTTTAAAATTCAGAGACTTGGCTACCACGCACAGAAGACCTTTGCAGACTGACTGTTTTTGATCATCGATGTTTGAGTAGAGTTGCTCATCTATGGTGGGAGAATCAAATGAGCGACACTGCAGTTCGTTAGCTGGTGCTTCACTAAAGTACTTAATGAATTCGAATTACCCTCCCCGGTCCAGTCACACGTGCATGCCAACGAGACGCGCACTTTTATGATTGTTGTTTTCTCACCGCGCTCTGTGAAACCCCGAGGTGGTTAGTCGATGCTTTGGAAAAGTGCGCGAAGAAGCTTACTCCAATCCTCCAATGTGGTTCTCGTGCTCCGCCATCTCAGTGGCTAGACACACTGGCAGGTATGGCACTATTGTGAAATCGATGCTTTTCATCCACTTGTTTCCTTATTTCTGGCCCATAACCGGTCCGCCTGATTACTCTGTTTCTTTCCCATAACTCTTGCATGGTTACGATCATTTTATCCTTATGTTCTTGACTACGTGTGTCATGGTGGTAGCTGGACCCTCCGCACCTCGGTGCATGGATCATAGCTGGGTAATTGAGCTGGGCCGAACGCGATACACGTAGTACGGTTGAACATGAGAGACGATCTGATGCACGTGATGTTGGTCCTTATTGCACCGCGTTCTTTTTTAATGTATCCGGCACACTGATCTCGCATGCGTAAGATGTAAGCGCATATTTGGTGAAATCAAGCAGTTCGTTCATTTATGTTGTCACATTTCGTTTTCATTTTCAAATACCATTTCGTATGTAGTTCTATCTGGGGCCTGGATGAGGTATACAGGCAAGAAACAGCCCATCGCCTGGAACGCTTGAGTCACATGCACTCGAAGCGGTCTGCCGCTGAGTCTCAAGATATTACATTGGCTCCCAAACGAACTTGTCCTTCCCCTACAGTCGCTGACGCTGAAGCCATCGTTTCAGTGGATGCTATCAAACGATGTGTTCTTTACGAACATCGGTTTTGGGTCGACCAGCGGGAATCACCGAAACATTTACTGTTCGAATATAGCAAAAAGCATCAACTCAAGCCACCCGAGTACCGCACGGTGAGCCTTTCCTTTTATGCGTTCATACGGTCTCCTCTAATCCCAGAACCAAAACCAAGTCTGGGCAGTTGTCACGAACATGATGATCATTCTAAAGGGGAACATTCCCGTTCTTGTCATTGTTTCATTTTTATCGCACCATTCGTCTCTGCGATGTGCCTCCATATCTGTTTCGTTAATCCATGTTTAATTTTCCTTCGCACTACTCTGGCTAGTCTACTTCTTTGTTCGGACTGATGCTGCACGTTAATTGCGCTTAGCCAAATCATCGGTGGGTAGCGCTAGATTGGTGTCCCGTACACAGCTCCAGATTCTTTTTCGTTCATTTGTGTTATCAGCCACCACCATAACTTGTGAACCCCATCAACAGCGACAACATTGCGGTATGCTCGTGCTTCTCTGTCATCAGGAATCAGTGAGGACAACCTTACCGGGATGGAATAAGAATGAAGAGGAATCTATCATATATATATATATATATATATATATATATATATATATATATATATATGTATATGGTTGGCGGCATCCGGTTTCGGATTTGCTTGTCACTGTGGCCAGCCACAGGACGCCTGCGCCTACAGAGGGACCACGGGTGGCTTGCGCTGCACTACCCACAGCTCCAACCACACACCCCATATCCAGTGTAAACCCGAAGGAATAAGACCGGGAGGCATGTGGATGGGAGCCACGTTTCATCAACGGAGCCGGCCCACACTCCTTCACAGGCAAACACAAGCACGCTGTATTTGGGAAATCAAGCGCACGCAAGGCGGTGGCTGGACAGTAGTCCGCTCCACACTGAGTGCATGGAACCACTCTTCGAGCCTAGCACGGCCACAAGGACCGTGCACCCCATCCCCTCTAGCAACGACCAACTGTCTCCTGGAGCCAGTATGGACGATGTAGTGGGTAATAGACAGGTAGGCACCTTGTCAACATGCACATCAAGCGCAGCCACACCGGGGATATCAAGCAACAGCCAATCACCTGGAACGACAAGATGAAATAAAACAAATCCAATAATGCATACAGATACGGTGGCATAACACTTTGCTAAATTAGCATATGAAGTAAGTTGGTTAGCAACGAATCCGCGATAAGTAAGAAATGTCCACAAGTTACTTAAAAATGCTACAAACGCAACACAGTTACCGAATATAAGCCCAAATAATGTAAGCAACATGGCCAGTTAATAGAAGAGTATTCAGGTAGACAGAACAAGCTAAGTAAAGTGGAATGAAATTTAGCCAGCTTAAAAAGACCTAGTTTAAGTGTAAGTTGGTTTAGTCCAACTGCGGTGAAGAAGCATCAAGAATGCAACATCAGCCTCAGCATGGGGCACTACATACGTACATGGTTGGCGGCATCCGGTTTCGGATTTGCCTGTCACTGTGGCAAGCCACAGGACGCCTGCGCCTACAGAGGGACCATGGATGGCTTGCGCTGCACCACCCACAGCTCCAACCACACACCCCATATCCAGTGTAAACCCGAAGGAATAAGACCGGGAGGCATGCGGATGGGAACCACGTTTCATCAACGGAGCCGGCCCACACTCCTTCACAGCCAAACACAAGCACACTGCATTTGGGAATCAAGCGAACACAAGACGGTGGCTGGACCGTAGTCCGCTCCACACTGACTGCATGGAACCACACTTTGATCCTAACACGGCCACAAGGACCGTGCACCCCGTCCTCTCCAGCAACGACCAACTGTCTCCTCTTAGCCAATATGGACGATGTAGTGGGTAAAAGACAGGTAGGCACCTTGTCAACATGCACATCAAGCGCAGCCACACCGGGGATATCAAACAACAGCCAAACACTTGAGAGAGAGAAAGAAAAGAGAGAAAAACTTGATTAATGCATAAGGAAACGGTGACATAAACCTTGATTAAATAGCATACGTAATAAGTTGTTTACAAACAAATCCTAGCTAAGTGCACGAGGTCAGGAAGTATAGTTCACGGAATGCCACAAACACGAAAATGTTATGGAAATCGAATACAATTGGCTGAAGCGATGTGCTCAAGTTAATGAAATAGAGTACAGGGAGATATTTATATGAGAATGAAAAGCATTAAGGTAAAAACTGTAAACCCACCACCTGAAATAAAGAGACTTAGCATGCAAGCACGCGGTTAGTAAATCGAATTCAGCGTGCCTACAAACCCTGCGCCGGTGCTGCCTACGTTCACTGCTGAACCCGTCGGCGCTTCGGCAGTGGTCCCGAGTGACCTCTCTCATGGCTCACTAAGCCTGCCTGACTAAGGCACTCGCGACCGCATGTTCTACAGCACAATGCGCTCGATGTCGATGGAGTACAATGCATCGGTGCTTGCCGCTTCCGCACTTGCCGCCTCTTCTCTGCATACATGAGGTCTTTCTCCCGTACTTCGGCAACTGCCTTCGTGAATAGATCGCGCCATGCACGCCGATCAACCGCCTTCGATTCCCATGATCTGCAATCAAGATTAGAACGTGAAAGCTTCACTTTAATCATGTCCTGGTAACGGAACTTGGGTTTCCCAGCATGCCGCTTCCCTATACTCAGCTGACCGTATAACAGTTGTTTCGGTATTCGCGTCGAATCCAAAAGGCTCACATGACCGAGCCATCTCAGGTGTCTCAGCAATACAATGCAGTCCACTGCATACATCCCACTTCGGCGCAACACTTCCGTGTCTGCAACCCTGGCGCCCCAGCCGATCCGCAAAATTCGTCGCAGACACTGCTGATGGAACCGCTCGAGATATCGCACATCCCGACGGTACATCGTCCACGTTCCACTGCCGTACAGAAGAACGGACAGTACCATGGATTTGTACACCATCAGCTTCGTGCCAATGGTAAGTTGATGGTTGTTCCACACTCGGTACTCAAGCTTCCCGAATGCTGCTGCCGCCTTCGACACGCGATTACGCAACTCAACGTGTAGCTGCTGATCAGTCGACATCACACTCCCAAGGTAGCAGAAGCGGGAGGTGGTTTCCAATACTTCAGCACCAATGCTGATTCGCGGCAATATTGTAGACTGCACCTACGGTGAAGGCTGAAAGAGACAGACAGTTTTTGCTTGTGTTGATGGTGAGCCCGGATTTGATCGCTGTCGAAGCCAGAGCACTAGTCATGTGCTGCAACTCATCCGCGCTGTGTGCAAACAACGCACAGTCGTCAGCAAACAGCAACATACGGATAGTTGTCTCACAGACTAGAGTTCTCGCACCGAAACGACGGATGTTCAGCAACCCACCATCAATACGGTGCTCCACACGAACACCGTAACCACAAGCCGCATCAAAAGCACAAGACAACATTGCATGAAGATAGATATTCAACAGGTCGGTCCAGTGCAGCGTGGCACGTTTGGGAGCTGTCACATATGATGATAATGTCGTTCGCATACTCTAAGTCAAGAAGTCGCTCACCAGGAAGTAGCTCCACACCTTCTAGGTCGTGTCCAGCGAATGCTGATTCCATGACTTCGTCAACTGCGAAGTTAAATAGGAAAGGTGACAGTAGGCAACCTTGCCTCACACCGCTGGAGAAACTGAAGGGTGGCGACAGTTTGCCATTAACCCTCACTCTGCCCATACAGCGCTTTGAAAACGTTTAGGTATTTATCAGGCACACCTTTACTCAGCAGACAGTCCCAAAGGGCACATCGATCGACTGAGTCGAAGACATCTTGTATGTCAAGAAACACGACAACGGTGGGTCGCCGATAAACATAGCGGTGCTCCAACAATTGAAGCAAGGTGAAGATGTGGTCGATGCAGCCCCGAATTCGACAAAACCCGGCTTGCTCTTCACGAATCTGACTTTCATGAGTGCCAGACAGTTTGTGGGAAATGACAGACGCAACCAATTTAGAGGCAAATGAGATCAGACTGATCCCTCTTTGATTGCCGCATTCCGAACGGGAGCCTCCCTTGAAAATTGGGATAATGACGGCGCGGCTCCAGTCTGTCGGAACAGTCTCTTGCTCTCAAAGTTTCAATAGCAACTGATGTAAATTATCTACAAGAGCAGGTCTCCCGAATTTGTGGAGAGCTGGGGGAATTCTGTCTGACCCTGCAGCCTTATGCAATTTCAACAGCCTGATCTCACGTTCGACTTCTGGGCGTGAGGGCGGACCCAAGGAGACGGCCCAAGGAGAAGGGCGCTCAATGCCCGAAAAAGAAAGCGATAACTCAGGTTAGTTAAATTGCCTTGCAGAGTGTTCGGCCAAACACTCCAAACGTTTTGACAGGCTGTGGATCGGCTGTCCACTCTCGTCACGTATTGTCTCGCCAACACCAGGTCTCCTGCTGCCTGTTTCTCGTATCAGACGGATCCAGTGGTCCAAAACCAGTCCTAGGTATGAGAACGTCTAAAAATGTAATCGGCTATTGTTCTCCTCTAACCTGGTGAACTGGACACCGTCGAGAACAATTTTGATTAGTTCATGTGTCTCCTCCAATTTGGAACTTTTGTAAATGACGAAAGAGTCGTCTACCTAGCGTAATCAAAGTTTCGGTTTCGCAATTGGCAGTGCTATCCGTCCTAGCGAATGCATCACTGCTTCGGCTACCAGCCCAGAGATGGGCGATAGAATCTGTATTGCTCCCATTATTCGGATGCAGCATCCGCCACTAGTGTCAACCAGGGATGATGGAGAGCGACAGAAATACTATTGAGGAGTATATAAACCAGGCGACAGGCTGCTCGTAGCATACAGTCCCTTTGCGCGCTTTCTGTTGAATTAATCGCAAGTGCTTCTCACGTTTGCATCCGATGATGGCCATTCGGATATTCGAGGGGTGCAAACCAACACAACCGTGCAACGTAAACATTACAAGATCAATCAACTACCAGTAGTGTAATCAATAGTCCAGAGGTGACACTCGAGAGATGTGGTCTAGAAGGTGCCCATGATACAATGTCTCTTGTGCGCGCGATCGTAGGGGAGAGAGAGTGACAATGGCAGCAGCGATGACGGAGTTACTGGTTCGT